GGGTGTGTGGTGAGTCCTGTCCTTGGAGGGGTTGTGTGGTGAGTCCTGTCCTTGGAGGGGGTGTGTGGTGAGTCCTGCCCTTGGAGGGGGTGTGTGGTGAGTCCTGCCCTTGGAGGGGGTGTGTGGTGAGTCCTGCCCTTGGAGGGGGTGTGTGGTGAGTCCTGCCCTTGGAGGGGGTGTGTGGTGAGTCCTGCCCTTGGAGGGGGTGTGTGGTGAGTCCTGTCCTTGGAGGGGGTGTGTGGTGAGTCCTGCCCTTGGAGGGGGTGTGTGGTGAGTCCTGCCCTTGGAGGGGGGGTGTGGTGAGTCCTGCCCTTGGAGGGGGTGTGTGGTGAGTCCTGTCCTTGGAGTCCTGCCCTTGGAGGGGGTGTGTGGTGAGTCCTGCCCTTGGAGGGGGTGTGTGGTGAGTCCTGCCCTTGGAGGGGGTGTGTGGTGAGTCCTGCCCTTGGAGGGGGGTGTGGTGAGTCCTGCCCTTGGAGGGGGTGTGTGGTGAGTCCTGCCCTTGGAGGGGGTGTGTGGTGAGTCCTGCCCTTGGAGGGGGTGTGTGGTGAGTCCTGCCCTTGGAGGGGGTGTGTGGTGAGTCCTGCCCTTGGAGGGGGTGTGTGGTGAGTCCTGCCCTTGGAGGGGGTGTGTGGTGAGTCCTGCCCTTGGAGGGGGTGTGTGGTGAGTCCTGCCCTTGGAGGGGGGGTGTGTGGTGAGTCCTGCCCTTGGAGGGGGTGTGTGGTGAGTCCTGCCCTTGGAGGGGGTGTGTGGTGAGTCCTGCCCTTGGAGGGGGTGTGTGGTGAGTCCTGCCCTTGGAGGGGGTGTGTGGTGAGTCCTGCCCTTGGAGGGGGTGTGTGGTGAGTCCTGCCCTTGGAGGGGGTGTGTGGTGAGTCCTGCCCTTGGAGGGGGTGTGTGGTGAGTCCTGCCCTTGGAGGGGGTGTGTGGTGAGTCCTGCCCTTGGAGGGGGTGTGTGGTGAGTCCTGCCCTTGGAGGGGGTGTGTGGTGAGTCCTGCCCTTGGAGGGGGTGTGTGGTGAGTCCTGCCCTTGGAGGGGGTGTGTGGTGAGTCCTGCCCTTGGAGGGGGTGTGTGGTGAGTCCTGCCCTTGGAGGGGGTGTGTGGTGAGTCCTGCCCTTGGAGGGGGTGTGTGGTGAGTCCTGCCCTTGGAGGGGGTGTGTGGTGAGTCCTGCCCTTGGAGGGGGTGTGTGTGGTGAGTCCTGCCCTTGGAGGGGGTGTGTGGTGAGTCCTGCCCTTGGAGGGGGTGTGTGGTGAGTCCTGCCCTTGGAGGGGGTGTGTGGTGAGTCCTGCCCTTGGAGTGGGTGTGTGGTGAGTCCTGCCCTTGTGAGGGGGTGTGTGGTGAGTCCTGCCCTTGGAGGGGGTGTGTGGTGAGTCCTGCCCTTGGAGGGGGTGTGTGGTGAGTCCTGCCCTTGGAGGGGGTGTGTGGTGAGTCCTGCCCTTGGAGGGGGTGTGTGGTGAGTCCTGCCCTTGGAGGGGGTGTGTGGTGAGTCCTGCCCTTGGAGGGGGTGTGTGGTGAGTCCTGCCCTTGGAGGGGGTGTGTGGTGAGTCCTGCCCTTGGAGGGGGTGTGTGGTGAGTCCTGCCCTTGGAGGGGGGTGTGGTGAGTCCTGCCCTTGGAGGGGGTGTGTGGTGAGTCCTGCCCTTGGAGGGGGTGTGTGGTGAGTCCTGCCCTTGGAGGGGTGTGTGTGAGGCCCTTGAGTCCTGCCCTTGGAGGGGTGTGTGGTGAGTCCTGGTGAGTCCTGCCCTTGGAGGGGTGTGTGGTGAGTCCTGCCCTTGGAGGGGGTGTGTGGTGAGTCCTGCCCTTGGAGGGGGTGTGTGGTGAGTCCTGCCCTTGGAGGGGGTGTGTGGTGAGTCCTGCCCTTGGAGGGGGGTGTGTGAGTCCTGTGGAGGGGGTGTGTGGTGAGTCCCCTTGGAGGGGGTGTGTGGTGAGTCCTGCCCTTGGAGGGGGTGTGTGGTGAGTCCTGCCCTTGGAGGGGGTGTGTGGTGAGTCCTGCCCTTGGAGGGGGTGTGTGGTGAGTCCTGCCCTTGGAGGGGGTGTGTGGTGAGTCCTGCCCTTGGAGGGGGTGTGTGGTGAGTCCTGCCCTTGGAGGGGGTTGGTGAGTCCTGCCCTTGGGGGTGTGTGGTGAGTCCTGCCCTTGGAGGGGGTGTGTGGTGAGTCCTGCCCTTGGAGGGGGTGTGTGGTGAGTCCTGCCCTTGGAGGGGGTGTGTGGTGAGTCCTGCCCTTGGAGGGGGTGTGTGGTGAGTCCTGCCCTTGGAGGGGGTGTGTGGTGAGTCCTGCCCTTGGAGGGTGTGTGTGGTGAGTCCTGCCCTTGTGTGTGAGGTGGTCTTAAGGTACACACGAATGTCTTACTGTTGACTTAAGCAGGTTTCTCGGTTTTCATGTGTTGTCTATATCGCCTTTGTTGGTCTCTCTCTCACACTCTCACTCTCTCTCTCACACTCTCACTCTCTCCCTCTCACCCTCCCGTCGTCTCTCCTCTCCCCTCCCCCCCTGCCCTAGGTGGTGGAGGGGGGTGGGGGGTGCTGGCGGGCGCCATCTTGCTCCTCCTGGCTCTTCCTGTCCCACGTTTTTATTGCTGGGACTCACCTGTCGTGCGCCTCTTAATTGACCTCTCCTACCTCGCCTGCCTGCCAGCCTGTCTGCCTGTCTGCCTGCCGGCCTTGCCTGCCTCCCAGCCAGCCAGCCTGCCTGCCTGCCTGCCTGCCAGCCTGCCTGCCTGCCTGCCTGCCTGCCTGCCTGCCTGCCAGCCTGCCTGCCTGCCTGCCAGCCAGCCTGCCTGCCAGCCAGCCAGCCAGCCTGCCAGCCAGCCAGCCAGCCAGCCAGCCAGCCAGCCAGCCTGCCTGCCAGCCTGTCTGTCAGCCTGCTTGCCAACCTGCCTTGCCTGCGAGCCTTGCCTGCCTGCCAGCCTGCCTGCCGGCCTGTCTGAGGAACATGGTACCTCACCACCTGTTAGGTACCCAGTACCATGTATATACAGCAGTCTCTCACACTGGCCATCTCCACAGGTCAGTACCCTCTGGTACCTTTGTCTCGCCACTCCCCCCCCCCCTCTACACTCCCCCAGGCCACCAGTCTTCACCCACCCGCCTTACGAAGCCTCTGCATCTTTGCCCGCGGACACACTGCGAGGTTATGAGAATACATAACGGCCTTACAGTCTGCCCCACCTCGTGTAACTGTGTATTAAATACCAACTAAGCCGCCATAATCTACGAAAGATGTACAGGTTTCGTTCTGAAGTGAAGACTTGAGTGTTGAAGGAGTCGTGGAAGATGCAGACGCCATGTTGATGGCTGACGTCATCTTCCGGCTGGTGACGTCATCTTCCGGCTGGTGACGTCACCACCAGCGGTGTTATTGACCCAAACTCCGTTTTCTGTTGACGCGCTTTATTATGCACGCCACCCACACCCCGTTTTCTTTGCCGTATTCTCAACACGTGGCCCCATTCCACAGCCCCCCCCCATTTACCCGGATTTACCTGAGACACCCCTACTATCTCTAGTGGCATCGACCGTGACCGAAAGCCGGTGTCTTGTCAAAGGTTCCACCCCATGCTATGCATTCGAGTTGTATTATACATTAGAACCACTAAATATCCGACGCAGTTGTACATACACAAACCACCGTGAAATTGACGTATTCTCTACATCTACGTCGATAGCAACTGTATTATACATTACCAGTTGTATTATACATTAGAACCACTAAAAATCCGACGCAGTTGTACATATACAAACCACCGTGAAATTGACGTGTTCTCTACACCTACCTCGAGAGGTTCGGTGGGTTGCTTGGGTTAGTACGCTTCTGGTTAAGGCTAAAACAGCTGTATTTTTTTTACGGAACACGATGGAGTCAGTCTATTGTAGTGATTGTGGGTATTGTTGATTGTCGGCGGGTATTGTTCTATTGTTCTCGCTCACCTCATTATTGTTTTGTAATTGTCAGAGTATTTCTCTTGTGTTTAGGAGCATATTGATTATATGGACTGTTTCACCTTCAAAATCATTATACTGGATTTGTCGTTCTTATTTCTAAGTCAAACTGGATTTGTCTTTTTCGTTTCTAAGTCAAACTGGATTTGTCTTTTTCGTTTCTAAGTCAAACTGGATTCGTGTTTTCATTTCTAAGTCAGACTGTCTTAGGTTTGCAAATTACAAACGCACCTCAAATTGTCTTGAAGAACGAGGTTCAGTGAGTACTTGTTGACATGTTGATGGATGGATGACTAGCTGGATGACTGGATGGATGGCTGGCTGGGTGGATGGCTGGCTGGATGACTGGGTGGATGGCTGGCTGGGTGGATGACTGGGTGGATGGCTGGATGGATGGCTGGCTGGATGACTGGGTGGATGGCTGGGTGGATGACTGGATGGATGGCTGGATGGATGGCTGGCTGGATGACTGGGTGGATGGCTGGCTGGATGACTGGGTGGATGGCTGGCTGGATGACTGGGTGGATGGCTGGCTGGATGACAGGATGGATGGCTGGGTGGATGGCTGGCTGGATGACTGGATGGATGGCTGGCTGGGTGGATGGCTGGCTGGATGACTGGCTGGATGACTGGATGGATGGCTGGATGGATGGCTGGGTGGATGGCTGGATGGATGGCTGGGTGGATGGCTGGGTGGATGACTGGATGGATGACTGGATGGATGGCTGGCTGGATGACTGGGTGGATGGCTGGGTGGATGACTGGATGGATGGCTGGATGGATGGCTGGCTGGATGACTGGGTGGATGGCTGGCTGGATGACTGGGTGGATGGCTGGGTGGATGACTGGATGGATGACTGGCTGGATGGCTGGGTGGATGACTGGGTGGATGGCTGGCTGGATGACTGGGTGGATGGCTGGGTGGATGACTGGATGGATGGCTGGATGGATGGCTGGCTGGATGACTAGGTGGATGGCTGGCTGGATGACTGGGTGGATGGCTGGCTGGATGACTGGGTGGATGGCTGGCTGGATGACAGGATGGATGGCTGGGTGGATGGCTGGCTGGATGACTGGATGGATGGCTGGCTGGGTGGATGGCTGGCTGGATGACTGGCTGGATGACTGGATGGATGGCTGGATGGATGGCTGGGTGGATGGCTGGATGGATGGCTGGGTGGATGGCTGGGTGGATGGCTGGGTGGATGACTGGATGGATGGCTGGATGGATGACTGGGTGGATGGCTGGGTGGATGGCTGGGTGGATGGCTGGATGGATGGCTGGGTGGATGGCTGGCTGGATGACTGGGTGGATGGCTGGGTGGATGACTGGATGGATGACTGGCTGGATGGCTGGGTGGATGACTGGGTGGATGGCTGGGTGGATGGCTGGGTGGATGACTGGATGGATGGCTGGGTGGATGACTGGATGGATGGCTGGATGGATGACTGGGTGGATGGATGGCTGGATGGATGGCTGGGTGGATGGAGACATGTGGCAACGTCGGGAACCACCTTGCCACGTCTACGCTTCTCGGTATTATGAGTCAGAAGAGTGGGGGGGGGGGGGGTTAGGGGGGGGGGGGGGTTAAGGGAGGATACATGGTCCAGGTACCTATTCAGATGGTACATAAAGAGGTGAACAGAGGCATGAGGTTTAAGGAAACACTGGCCAAACGCCTATCTACCACGAGAATTAAACAGGTGTAGCTCCTGAGCCCGGCTTCTCTAGATGTACCACTCCGTCCAAAATGCAACTGTTTAGCCTAGCCAGAAGCGTACTAACCCAAACAACCCACCTAGCCTATCGAGGTCGAAGCTTAGAAAGCGTCGATATTACGGCGCTTTAATTGTCCCTAACACGTCAATTTTGTTACGGTTTGTTCGGTTGCGTTCAAAATACGATGTATTGAGAGGATAGGTCTCCGTGGACATCTTCAAGAGGAAACTACATAGTTTCCTCTGAGGAGTGCCGGACCAGCCGGGCTGTGGTGAGTATGTGGGCCTGCGGGCCGCTCCAAGCAACAGCCTGGTGGACCAAACTCTCACAAGTCAAGCCTGGCCTCGGGCCGGGCTTGGGTAGTAGAAGAACTCCCAGAACCCCATCAACCAGGTATATGTGGGCCTGCGGGCCGCTCCAAGCAACAGCCTGGTGGACCAAACTCTCACAAGTCAAGCCTGGCCTCGGGCCGGGCTTGGGCAGTAGAAGAACTCCCAGAACCACATCAACCAGGTATATGTGGGCCTGCGGGCCGCTCCAAGCAACAGCCTGGTGGACCAAACTCTCACAAGTCAAGCCTGGCCTCGGGCCGGGCTTGGGGAGTAGAACAACTCCCAGAACCCCATCAACCAGGTATATGTGGGCCTGCGGGCCGCTCCAAGCAACAGCCTGGTGGACCAAACTCTCACAAGTCAAGCCTGGCCTCGGGCCGGGCTTGGGGAGTAGAAGAACTCCCAGAACCCCATCAACCAGGTATATGTGGGCCTGCGGGCCGCTCCAAGCAACAGCCTGGTGGACCAAACTCTCACAAGTCAAGCCTGGCCTCGGGCCGGGCTTGGGCAGTAGAAGAACTCCCAGAACCCCATCAACCAGGTATATGTGGGCCTGCGGGCCGCTCCAAGCAACAGCCTGATGGACCAAACTCTCACAAGTCAAGCCTGGCCTCGGGCCGGGCTTGGGCAGTAGAACAACTCCCAGAACCCCATCAACCAACAGGGAGCCGGCCGGCCGAGCGGACAGCACGCTGGACTTGTGATCCTGTGGTCCCGGGTTCGATCCCAGGCGCCGGCGAGAAACAATGGGCAGAGTTTCTTTCACCCTATGCCCCTGTTACCTAGCAAGAAAATAGGTACCTGGGAGTTAGTCAGCTGTCACGGGCTGCTTCCTGGGGGTGGAGGTCTGGTCTATGACCGGGCCGCGGGGACACTAAAGCCCCGAAATCATCTCAAGATAACCTCAAGATAACCAGGTATAGCTGTGGGTGCTCTGTAGGCCTACGGGGCGCTAAGCGATGCACTTGAAAGAGAAAAGGCCGCGAGGCACTGGACTTAAGTGGCACTTAAGTGGGTGCCACTAGCGGAGTGCCTCGGGCGGGTGGCAGCGGCTGTTAACTCTAACAGTCTCCAGTTGAGCTGTGGTGGGGGGGGGGGGGGGAGAAAATGCATGTCCAACACACACCTCCAACACACACCTCCAACACAACATACACCAACATAACACAACACACCTCGAACACAGCACAACACAACACACACCCAACATACCACAATACACACACCCCCAACATAGCAACATATTCAGGCGGTCTGCTGGTGATTCCAACACTGTTATGCCTGCTGAAGGCAGCAGTCAACCCTCCCTGACGTAATGGGTTGTAAATTAGAGCAGAGCTGTATAGCATAGGGGTAGTGTGTGGGTACCCGCCTGTGTGGGTACCCCGGGGGTGGGTACTACCCGCATTTGGCAGAAACCAAACGGGTATCTCACGGCAATATTATGTTACCGGGGAAATCCAGAAATCAACAGGCCAGTTTCCAAGCCCGTATTTACCCAGGTCTTTCCTAAATCAAAATTACGTCCATGCTCATTTTGTGATGGTTGTATGAGTTTGTGTATTAGCTTAGGCACCTCCCTTCTTGCCCGCCCACACACTGGTACACGCCCACCCTTGCTGGGGGGGCGCCGCTTCCCTGCGCGCCCACAATCATTTGTTTTAATATCTCACATCAGCGCTCCTGCGCCGCGCCTTATCACCGCCCCTCATCACCGCCCCTCTTCTCAATTCCCCTCTTCCTGTCTACATCAGTCTGTGTGTGCCCCTGTTTTATCATCTCTCTCTCGTTTCTCTCATTCACATGTTCCCCTCCACGTGTTTTGATGAGTAAATTGATGGACATTTGACCTGGATATTGATGAGTTTGTCTATGATTGACTTGACTCTTTCTCTTTGCAGAGCCCCGTCACCTGCCTGAGTTGAGGTGAGTTGAGCCCCTGGTTGAGTTGAGCCCCCTGGTTGAGTTGAGCCCCCTGGTTGAGTTGAGACCCTGGTTGAGTTGAGCCCCCTGGTTGAGTTGAGCCCCCTGCCCGAGTTGAGCCCCCCTGCCTGAGTTGAGGTGAGTTGAGCCCCCTGGTTGAGTTGAGCCCCCTGGTTGAGTTGAGCCCCCTGGTTGAGTTGAGCCCCCTGGTTGAGTTGAGCCCCCTGGTTGAGTTGAGCCCCCTGGTTGAGTTGAGCCCCCTGCCCGAGTTGAGCCCCCCTGCCTGAGTTGAGCCCCCCTGCCTGAGTTGAGCCCCCCTGCCCGAGTTGAGCCCCCCTGCCCGAGTTGAGCCCCCCTGCCTGAGTTGAGCCCCCCTGCCTGAGTTGAGCCCCCCCTGCCTGAGTTGAGCCCCCTTGCCTGAGTTGAGCCCCCCTGCCTGAGTTGAGCCCCCCTGCCGAGTTGAGCCCCCCTGCCCGAGTTGAGCCCCCTGCCCTTGCTTGAGCCCCCTGCCCTTGCTTGAGCCCCCTGCCCTTGCTTGAGCCCCCTGCCCTTGCTTGAGCCCCCTGCCTGAGTTGAGCCCCCTGCCTGAGTTGAGCCCCCTGCCTGAGTTGAGCCCCCTGCCTGAGTTGAGCCCCCTGCCTGAGTTGAGCCCCCTGCCTGAGTTGAGCCCCTGCCTGAGTTGAGCCCCCTGCCCTTGCTTGAGCCCCTGCCTGAGTTGAGCCCCCTGCCCTTGCTTGAGCCTCCTGCCCTTGCTTGAGCCTCCTGCCCTTGCTTGAGCCCCTGCCCTTGCTTGAGCCCCCTGCTCTTGCTTGAGCCCCCTGCCTGAGTTGAGCCCCCTGCCTGAGTTGAGCCCCCTGCTTGAGTTGAGCCCCCTGCCTGAGTTGAGCCCCCTGCTTGAGTTGAGCCCCTGCCTGAGTTGAGCCCCCTGCCTGAGTTGAGCCCCCCTGCCTGAGTTGAGCCCCCCTGCCTGAGTTGAGCCCCCTGCCTGAGTTGAGCCCCCTGCCTGAGTTGAGCCCCCTGCCTGAGTTGAGCCCCCTGCCTGAGTTGAGCCCCCTGCTCTTGCTTGAGCCCCCTGCCTGAGTTGAGCCCCCTGCCTGAGTTGAGCCCCTGCCTGACTATATGAAGGATCACACAGTTTGTGTCAGAAGCTAATTACGAGAGTTTGAAAATCCCCATCTTACAGAGGCTTGTACTCACCTAGTTGTGCTTGCGGGGGTTGAGCTCTGGCTCTTTGGTCCCGCCTCTCAACCGTCAATCAACTGGTGTACAGGTTGTAACAAACTAGGCTGTTGTAAGAATTATTCCAGAAGGTTCCAGAAGTTAGAGTAGGGACCTGACCTCTCAACAACGCCCTGACTCCCAGGGGAATTCGCGGTGGAAATAACCGACGCTTTGTTCATAGCTGCGTATAATGAACCATCCTATAGTATTCAGTAATTTAGAGAAAATTAGCCTTTATTCATTTTGCATTAAAATTGTATTGTATAATAGTACTGGGTACATATCAAGAGTATTCTAATTATTGAGTTTAAGTCACCATCAGTGACGTCACGAATCAGATCTAACTTGTAAGGCGGAGTGACCAGCGGTCATAGGTCATCAGGGGTTGACAGGTCTACTATTTCTCAAAGTTTTAATAACCATCTTTGTGATCGGGAACAGCTCTGCCGTTAGAGGCTTGTGTAATTTAATTCAGTAAAATAATTCAACCAGTCTGGATCAATTAAGTACAACAGGTTAATTGTTATAACTTAAACCTGGCTAGTAACTTGGTAAAACTTGACTAGGCGGAAGGATACAATGTTCTGTCTGGGTAGACCAGACAAGAGAGAGATCAGTGTGGTCACGGAAGCAGCTGGGAGAGGTCAAACATCTTACCTCTCCCCGAGACCAGCCCAACATCTTAGCTGGAAAACATAGAGGTATAGTTGCTATGGTTATGTATAGAAATAGTCTCATTTGCCATTCAGGTCAAGTAGGGAGTGTTAAAGTGACAGGGAGTGAACATATTTAGATTTTGTTTTAGTTTTCTTTTAATAAATTAAATTAGTTAATATTTTGCATTTCATTATTTCCATGTGTTTTATGTGTAAACTTGTCCTGGTCACGTGGTCCACACGAGGTAAAGTTGGATTGGGCGCCGATTCTAACATCGAATCGGAATTATCATTACCGTGTAATTTATTCCACACTCAAGGTCATCGTATATAGTGGGGATCAAGCCCCTAGGTTGATTAATTAGCGTGATCGATCCAGACCTCGATCATTGCTCTTGTGTTACTGGTCTGGTGGTGGCAGCGTAGAGGCGACTCTAGGGTTTTGTTCAGAGCCTAGGTCACGTCATACTGGGGGTAGAATCCTAAGTCGGTCAATCGTCTTAGGACCACGTGGCGTGGAGTTGGCTTTGGTAAAAGTTTTGGAGTCCCTTGGTAGAGAATAAAAAGTAAGAATACGGGTAGAGGGAGTAGAAGGAAGAGAAGTAGTGAGAGAAACCCAAACCCGTGTTACAAGGTTCTTGAGCCTATTGGGCTCTATCATATCTCCATTTGAAACTGTGTATTGTGTATGGTA